CTTCTGGGATAGTATGGGTGGGGACCTGCTTCCAGTGCGGGTACTCTGGGAGGGGACACGCTATGTCACTGTCCTGGGGGCCATGGGTTAGGGTGGGGCCTTAGCAAGGCAACAGGGCCACAGAGTAGTCGCTGGGATCTGCAGCAATGGGGCTGGGTACATCTCTTACCTCTGTTGGCCACCATGACTTTCTTGATGGGCTTGTACTCCACCCGCTGGGTGCTCTGGAAGGCGGCATGGATCAGGGAGAGGCGCCTGATGCCCAGGAACCCCAGGCCTCCTCTCACAAAACACAGCTGCAGCATCTGGGGAGAGACAAATAGAGCCGGCACATCAGGGTGATACAAAGGGCAGCACATGCAGGGGACAGGCCCCCCTCTGCAAAGGCTCCCAGACAGCGGGGGTAGGGCTGGGAGAAGATCTCCCTGCCTCAGTGGCTGGGTATAAACACACCAGGGAAAGGGCTCTCTTCTGCCAGATGCTTGCCCAACCGTGGTCTCTTGCAGCCAGATCCCCACCTAATCAAAGGCAAAAGAGCTATTTGCAGCCCCGGAGGAGATCTCATTGGCACTAGTGCCTTGCAGGTGAATGGGTATGAATTCTGACTTTGGATGAATGGGTCCAAATTCCGAGTGACCCTCGTGATATTTCAACTTATGATGATTGCGTTCAGCGGTGCCTAAAGGACCCACCCAAAACCAGGGCCTCCACTCTGCCAGACGCTGCACAACCCATCAGCGGCACAAACCCAGAGATCAAGGACTCCCTTGTACTAGGTGCCGTGCAGACCCTGACAGTGATCAGGACCCTGCTGTGCTGCAAGAAGGCTAAGGAAAATGGGGGAAACACAGAGCCCCTCGCATGACAGAGAAGGAGGAGTTGCAGGAAGTGCCTGAAATAGAAGCAGATGGTTGGGTGGCCCCCAAAGAGCACAGAGGCAATGGAGGGCTGTAAGATGGAGGGCTGTAAGATGCCGAGCTGGGTGCAATGGTCCAGACCAGACCAGCCTACAGAACGCGCAACGCTTGCCTGAGGCCCTGTCTGCAGCTAGCACATGCCTTGTGATTAAACAGGGAAGTGGTAAAAAAATCACAGGAGTTTTGCAGCAGATTTATTTTTACAGTCGAAAATCAACAGCGCCTCCAACGCACAAGCCCCAAATTAACTTTCAGGTGTCATCAGACTCTGTGCTGGCTCCTCCCCGCCTCCTCCCCGGTCGGGTCCTTGGAAAGGAGACAAGTGGAATGGAGGAGACGCGAACCCAGCAAAGGCAGAGTGGCACCATGGTCTGGATAATACTGTCTGGGCCTGGGTGTGTGGGAGAGAACTGGGCGGAAGAGGAATGGGATATGAGCCTTTGTCCTTCAGGGGGTACTGGTTCCAGTCTGGCTCCATAGCAGGGGACTGGCTGGCTATGGGGAGTGGGGAATGGAATATGGGCTCTTTCCGCTCTGGGGGTGCCATCTCGGATATGGCCCCAGCTGGCTCAGAGGGGTGGGGACTGGGGAACAGAACAGGGACCTTTTCCCTCTAGAGGGCACCGGCTCTGATCTGGCACCAGGTGAGGGACTGCCTGGGTACTACTCACTCCCCGGGGAAGGGGATAGGCACAGATCCCCTCTTCTCTGCAGGAACACATGGGCCATGCAGTGCATTTTTATGAGCCTCTCCTTAGGAAGCAGGTTTCCCTGCTCTCAGGTCGTTCTTGTGGCGCTTTCTCTACAATGGGTCTAAATACACACCCCAGTGCTGGACAGCACCCAAAGGCCCCTTTTCGGGAGAGCAGGGAGGGCAGCAGCTGTGCGCACTGGGATGTGGTTTGCTTTTCCTCCCATTCCCCTGTCAGGGAATGAGAGGAAAGTACTTGGATTCTGTGAATTACTTCTCTGCCCCCTCCCTTCACTAGCCAGGAGTGAGAAGCATGCATAGAAGCCATATACTTTCCCCTTACTCCCTAATAGTCAGGGGAATTGGAAGAAAAGCAAGCGGTGTCCCAGTACACACAGCTGCTGCCCTAACCCACCCCCCTCTCCCACTCCCCTGAAACAGCACCCTTGACAGTACCAGTGTCACATATACAGAGGTGATGCCACTTTCCACTCCTGCTCAGCCTCCCACTGATCCACCCCAGGCTCGTGTGAGATCTCAGCCCTCACATTATAACAGAAGCTCATGGAGCAGATGGTTTCCACCAGAATTTGAGCCCTTTCTGGAGACCCTGTATTCCAGGTCCTGCCCTGTCCTGTATCTAGCACCTGATGTACCCTGTACCTTGGAAGTACGACTCTGCCTCAGACTGTATATGAGCCCACCTTGTTGGAATGAGCCTAGGCTCCCAAACGACTGAGCTCCCTCTGTGCAGCTCACCCCTTCACCATTGGTCTTCCCTGCTCTGCCGAGCTTTGCGCCAGCTGCAAACTTTACCATGTCCTGGTAGTGACTGTGTGAGCCCCAACATTGTTTCAGGAGTGCACAGCTGGCTGGTGTCCCTGCACTGCAAAGCCAGACACACAAAAGTCATGAGTCAGGGCGCTTCAAATCATGAAATCAGCTCAAAAAGCAGGAGATGTTTTACAAGAATAAATATCCTGCTCTTTTAACTTTGCCTTCAGGGGTCCCGTTTGCAAGCTTTTCTTCCTAAACACAAGGGCCAGAAACTTGCTTTGAAATTAAAAAACGATAGGCTCACATGCCTTCAGGAGCCAATGATTTAAGAAAACACCCCAAGTAGGTGATGGGTTGGTTGATCACAGTCTAGAAGTATCTACAGGAGGAATACATACTTGATAACAGAAGGCTCTTCAGTCTAGCAGCCTAACAAGATCCAACAGCTGCAATTAGAAGCTGGACAAATTTAGACAAGGAATAATAAGGTGTTTGGGGTTGTTGGGTTTTTTTTTTTTTTTTACAGTGAGGGGAATTAACCATTGGAACAATTTACCAACGGATGTAGTTGATTCTTTATCACTGGCCATTTTTAAACCAACTTGTGACATTTTTCTAAAAGATCTGCTCTAGTTCAAAAGGGAATTAATTTACGGCAGTCCTATGAGCTGGTTTGCAGGAAGTCTGACTAGCTGGTCACAGCAGTCCCTCTGAAATATCGCCAGTGTTGGCAGTAATATTATAACCACGATGATGCTCGGGTCCATTTCAGAGTCACTGCTTTCCCCCATTGGGTAGTGTTCCATCAAGCCACACAATGGGCCAGGAGACAGCTTCATCAGAGAGCAAACTGTGATGGAAATAATGTTAGCAAATCGTCTGATCTCCTGGAGGCAAAATAGCAAAAAGTGCCTTCTTTCGTCTAATTAAGTACAAAACGCAGATGAAAAGAAAAGCCCAGAACTTGTTTCCTCTGGCTTCTTTGGGCGTCAGGAGGGTAGAAAGTGATTGCAAACTCCTTCAAATCTCTATTAACGAGATTTTCGCCAGGCTCTAGGCATGCCGGGAGCAACACAGTGTACAATTCTATCTGCCTTAGATCTGCTTTCCTACTTTGGCTTTTTCTGCACAGATCTAATGCTTTACAAAAGCTCACCCAGTGTAAAGGAATTTCAGGAAGAGAAACGGATATTGGATTGGAATTTACAGAGAGAGAATTTCAATTAAAAAGCCCACAAACCACAGACACTGTTATGGCTAACACTCAGATCCAGGAGCCAGGACTCATGGGTTCTGTTCACAGCCAACTACTCCTCTCATAGAATCATAACCACGTAGGCTCCAAAGATCTTCACATCCAGCTCCCTGTGCTGAGGCAAGACTAACCCTCGAGCCTCCCTGACTGGTGTCCATCCAGCCTTTTCTTTAAAATCTCCAGTGACTGTCTGGGGATATACAAATCCCTCAGAGCCCTACTGCAGAGCTTAACTGCCTTTAGAGTCAGAACATTTTTCCTAATATCTAACCTAGCTCTCCCTTGCTGCAGATTAAGCCCATTAGGGTATGTCTACACTAGCCCCCAGTTTGAACTAGTCCTTAGTTCCATGAGGAGTAACAGTTAATTCGAACTAAGGACGGGAACATGCAAATAAAGCCTGGGATATTTAAATCCCGGGCTTCATTTGCAACTTCGAATGCCTATATTAGCCTCCCTAGTTCGAACTAGGGGGCTAGTGTAGACATACCCTTACTTCTTGTCCTGCCTGCAGTGGACTGGAGAACACAATTGGCCACAGTCCTCTTTTATAGCAGCTCTGAACATATCTGAAGATTCATATCAAATCTCTCTTCATTCTCTTTTCTCAGGACAATATGCCAAGTGTTTAACCTTTCCCCATAGATCAGCTTATCTTTGAAACCTTTTTCATTTGCATTGCTCTCCCCAGACTCTCTTAAATGTATCCACAACTATTGTACTTGTGGCCGGTGCAGTGCCCTACCATCTTTCCAATTTGGGTAGAGCACTGCACTGGCCATAAGTACACTGGGAGTCTATTCCCAGCTCTGCCCATGACCCTAGGCATCCATGGACGGTCCTCTCTCTGTGCCTCTATTCCCCCTGAACTCTTTGTCTGTTTAGAATGTGAGCTCTTCGGGATGGAGGCTGCCTCTCCTGTGCCCCACCCTGATCTTGGCTGGGATCTGTGCAGCACCTGTCACAGTGAGGGGCCCAAAGTTCTCATTTGGCACCATAAAACACTACAATAATGGCAGACAGATACAAGGACAGTATGAAAGAGCCCAGGCCTCCATGGATGGGTTCAGTGTCAATACTGCCCACTGGATGAGCACTTGCCATTTCAGGCAGACCCATCTTTGTTCTGTTAAGCTGCAGGGTCAGCTGTCAATATCGCTGATGTTGATAGGAGAACACTGTAAACAGGGCCCTGCAAATGAAATTAATATGTGGAAGGTTTAAAACAAACAAAAGGAAATTTTTCTTCACGCAGTGCAGTCAGCCTGTGGAACTCCTTGCCACAGGACGTTGTGAAGACCAGGACTTTAACATGGTTCAGGAAAAAAACTAGATAAATTCATGCAGGTTAGGTCCATCAACAGCTATTAGCCAGGATGGGTAGGAATGGTGTCCCTAGCCTCTGTCAGATGCTGGGAATGGGCGACAGGAGAAGGATCACTTGATGATTCCCTGTTCTGTTCACTCCCTCTGGGGCCTCTGGTATTGGCCACTGTCGGCAGACAGGACACTGGGCTAGATGGAACTTTGGTCTGACTCAGTACGGCTGGTTTTTTTGTTTTTTTTTATGCAATGAGCCGTTTCTTAATGCCATCATTTAGGGCCCAGTGTCATCTGTACAGATGAGCAAAGAGGGACCATTCAAAGTGTCTGATTTCCCTGAAG